CAGTTATGCCATCCAACCATCTCATCCTCTGTCACCCCCTTCTCCTCTTAACCTCAGTCTTTCCCAGCATCAGGGTCTTTTCCATTAAATCACCTCTTCACATCAGGTGGCCAAAGTATTGGAGCTTCAGCTTCAGCATCAGTCCTTCCAATGAATATTCAGGTTGATTTCCTTTAGGATGGACTGGTTTGATCTCCTTGCAGTCTAAGGGACTCTCAAGCATCTTCTCCAGAACCACAGTTCAAAAGCATCAATTCTTGGACACGTGGCCCACTTTATGGTCCAACTCTCACATTCTTACATGACTGCTAGAAAAACCATAGCTTTGACTATATGGACTTCTGTCGGCAAGGTGATATCTCTGCTTTTTAATATGCTGTCTAGGTTTGTCATAGTTTTTCTTCCAAGGAGCAAGCGTCCTTTAATTTTTTTCTTAATTATTTTTTATTTATGTGTTTATTTTTTAGCCATACCACATGGCTGTGGGATCTCAGTTCCCCGACCAAGTACCGAACTGGAACCCAGGATACTGCTTCAGAATCTTAACCACTAGACCTCCAAGGAACCCCCGTGGGAAGATATCTTCATGCTTCAGGGACCTAGGACCAGGAATTCTCTGGCAGACCTAGGGAATAAAGGACCCAGAACCAATGTGCATACAGTTGGAAAGTTAATACAACACATACTTTTTTAATGTTTTAAAGTTAACAGACACTTATATATCTTATTGGACTTCCCTTATTGGACACTTATTGGACTTCCCTGGTGCCTCAGATGGTAAAGCGTCTGCCTACAATGCAGGAGACCCAGGTTCAATCCCTGGGTTGGGAAGATCTCCTGGAGAAGGAAATGGCAACCCATTCCGGTATTCTTGCCTGGAAAATCCCATGGGCAGAGAAGCTTAGTAGGCTACATACAGCCCATGGGGTCGCAAGAGTCGGACACGACTAAGCGACTTCACTTCACTTATATATCACTTTCTGCTGTGCACAGTTCTAACCCAGTTTACAGAAGGGGGCTATGCCATGTGCTCGGTTGTGTTCGACTCTTTGCGATGCTATGGACTGTAGCCTGCCAGGCTCCTCTGTTCATGGGATTCTCCAGGCAAAAATACTGGAGTGGGTTGCCATGCCCTCCTCCAGGGGGTCTTCCTGACTCAGGGCTCAAACCCGTGTCTCCAGTGTCTCCTACATTGCAGGTGGATTCTTTACCCGCTGAGTCATCTAGGAAGCCCCCTGGGGGACTGAGGCACAGCTTAATATTGCATGGCCAATAAGTGGCAGACTTCAGATTCAAGCTCAGGTAGTCTGTTCCAGAGTTCTTGCTCTTAAGCTCTATGCTTTGTTCCCTCTCAATGGTTGCTATTCTACTTTGAAGTTACAGGAATAAGAACTTTTTTTGATATATTAGCCACATCACTTGTAGAATCTCTTTATAAGAATGTCAGTGAGAAGAGGCTAGTGGAAGGCTCTTAGCCATACTCCAAAGTCATGATTATGTTTTGAAAGATATACTTTGGAAATCCAGTGGCCATAAACTATAATCACAGGCTATCTGGCAATGTTTTTAGAAATCATTGTTATATCAATTCTATAATTTTTATTTTCTTAATTTAGTTGTGTTTACTTCTCTTATTTTGGAGCCACTGGGTGATGATTCCTTCAAACTGAGTAAGGGCTGTATCACTTCTAAGTAAAACTGTGAACATTGACCCCCTGTAGCTATTTTGACACACATTCCTTACCTGTGCTGTTGATAAATAATATACGGAAAGACCAAGTAAGCTATCAAAATAGTCTTCAACAATGTGTTTCTAGTACTTATGGTTTAAGTTACTTTGAAAAACTATCTTAAGGCTTATCTTTGTAGTATACATGACTTCTATACGTATAGATGTTGTGGTAACTAGTCTTTTTGCTTTTATTTTTAAACATTAAGTAAACCAGATGGCCTCATTTTGAACTGATTCTGAAAGATTTTCTTAAAAAAGATCAATATATTTTGGTTTAAAATAAGAAAGGGGACTTTCCCTGTGGCTCAGTGGTAAAGAATCCACCTGCCAGGGCGGGAGACACGGGTTTGATCCCTACTCCAGGAAGATCCCTAGAGCCTGGAAGCCACAAGTGCCGAAGCCTGAACGCATGATGTGCAACGAGAGAAGCTGGTGCACTGCAGCTAGAAAATAACCCCCAGCTGCCACAACTAGAGAAAAGCCTGTGCAGCACTAAAGACCCAGCACTGCCAAAAATAGACAAATAAATTAAAATTATTTAAAATAAGTAGTTACATTTTAGAAGGATAAGCTATTAGGTAGGAACTTATATTTCCTTTATTGTTTTTTATGTGTGTTATGTGGTGTGCTTTATTTTAGGCCATGCCCTGCAGCATGTGGGATCTTAGCTCCCTGACCAGGGATTGAAACCATGCTCCTTGCATTGAGAGCACAGAGTCTTAACCACTGGACCTCCAGGGAAGTCATGTATATTCCCTTTATCATTGCTATTCATTTTGAACATGTTTAAACTGCACAATAAACAAAAGCCCACTTAAAAAATAGCTCAGAAGAATTTCTGTAATTTCTATATGTATTAAATCTTGTTATACTAAATGTTATACTAAATGCCTAGTATTTTGATTTGGGGTTAAATTTAATTGGACCAAATATTGCTGAACCATTAGATGGGCTTATGGAGGTTTAGATTGGGCTAAAAGTCTTGTCAGTAATGGTATTTGACTTATGAATAGTTAAACCTCTACTAACCATTTCTCAGTGTTTGAGTTTTAAGATTTATATTTTAGAAGACTTGCTTTATACATATAATCTATAAGTGAAGCTTTGAGATCATCTTACAATTAGGCAAAGCTTAGAAAAGAGGACATTGTGAAGCAGCTCATGTCTGGAGGCAACTGGAAATTGTGAGTCTAGTTCCCTTCTTAAGCATATTAAGAAATTTGACTCAGATGGCTAAGTTTCTTCATCTGCAAAGTAAGTATACAGTGATATCCATATACTTCCCCAGGGAATTACGAGGAAATAATCACCTTCTATCAAGAATTGTAATGTGTTCTTAGAAACCATGAGGTCCAGAATTTTATTCATATTTGTTGTGTTGCCCCTTGAAAGCAAGAATATAAATTAAAACCAACTGTCTTTATTCAACATTTTGTTGTCCAGTCTATTATTTGCATCAACAGAGAATTAAATGAAAATTCTACAGTAATATTCTAAAAGCTATTTCATCCTTGTTTCCATAATAAATACCACTGAGTTTGTATTTCTAGTTTTGAGTCGCTGATAGGGAAACCCGTGTTTCAGCATTCTTTTTTATACAATCAGCAAGTTGATTTAAACCTAGTGTACAAGTTGGCATTCCTTTTGGGAGCAGTCAAAAATGTTTGCTGAAGTGTCTACACTGTTGTGAAAAGTATTGAAATGGTTGTTCCTAAAGAGTACTGCTCAGGAACAGGAAGAGTTAAAATGTAGCTTTGAGGGTAGAGGGGTCATGTGGATAATGTCTCTAGCTTTATTTTAGTGCAGGTAGAAAAGAAGAGGAGGTTTGCTTTACAGAAGGGAAAAACATTGAGGACTTGGAAGGAAAAACACATTCCTCATCTGGCATTATGAGCACTTTACTTCACTGATAAAATATGACCAGTGTGCAGAACAGAGAACAGGTGTAAAATATTTTTAGACAAACCTTGGCATATGCTGTAGGTCGCACCCCTTCTGTCTATACACTCAAGTGTTTCAAAAATAATGTGGAAAAAACACATTAACAAAATAAGATATTGCTTTTATGGGTTTTTTTTGTACAAAATGTTAAAGTCAAACATAAACTTCTATCCCAGCCATCAGGTTGCAGCTATTTTTAAACACTAGCTCTCCACATGCCCTTTGACAGCTTTTGAGTCTCCTTTTCCTTCCTTATTGCTGTTGAGAGAGCTGGGAGAATATGGCTCCTTAGCCTCTTTTGGAGCGTGAAAGCTAGATTGTGATATTTCCCCAAACCAGACACTAATTTAAAACAATTTTGAACTTCCTTTAGGCTAGAAAGGTAAGACAAGCATGGATATGGCATTGTCTAGCTGGGTTTCTAGCATGTGAGTATAAGTTGATGACTTCTGGATACTGATAGACAGGAATACTGATGCTCCTTCTATCAGTATGGTTTAAGAAATGGAATCATAGGGCCCTACAACTGTCTATTTTAGACCAGAGTTCAGATGTTCTGTGACACGAGCTCAGTAGTTCCGGGCACAATTCCGTTTTCTGTTTTAAACTAAATGCAAGTACTCCTTTCAGATGGCTTCTCCTGGCCACCTCTCCAGCCAAACATGGATTCATTTCTAGTGAGGATGAAGGCTGGCTTTTTATTTGTTTTGTAATGAGTATGTCTGCTGTTTCTTTACTGATTCTTCAGATCTGCCTACTGATCTCAGAGCTCTTTTTCAAAAAAAAAAAAGAAGAAGAAGAAGAAGAACAAGAACCTTCCTTGTTTTGTACACCACCTGCCTTTTTTTTTTGTCTGCACCTTGCATGAACCCTCACCCCCTCCAGTGGAAGTGTGGAGTCTTAACCACAGGGCTGCAGGGAAGCCCCAATTCATTTTAAAGTTCTCTAGAGTTCTGTGACTGATTTTCTGCTAATTCCTTTCTATTTCCAGGAAACATGATGGGGATACCTAAACCATTTCAATCCAATGCTTAAGACAGCTGCAATCCCTGGACAGCCTTTCTAGAAACTAAGGTGTTACCAGAGGCCATTTAACTAAAGACTGAGAGCAACCCAGTTTCCATAAGGATATAAAGGGCTTTGAACTGAGTCTCCTGCATTGCAGGCAGATTCTTTACTGTCTGAGCCACATAAAGTGTTTTACCTGGAGAAATTTCATGCTTTTGAATCTTACAATAGATTGGAAGAAAGGGAGGACCTTTTTCTTTCTTCTTCTTTTTTTTTTTGGAACTTAGGAAGAAATATTTTTTGGAAGGAGACTCTTATTTAGTTCAAAGAACTTTTGGGGTTCTGTATAAAGGAATAGGGAAATAAGACCTCATCTCCCCAGGAGCTTCTGCCAGAGGAAAAGAATCCAACAGCAGATAGAAAAGGGTTAACAAGTGTCCCTTCTATCTGCCCTTCCTTCAGGTATGGGAAAGATGAAAGAACAGTAAAGAGGGAGCCTGTGTGTGTGCAGATGCAGGACTCCTCCTGAAGACCATTTCCCTTGATGGATATTTTGCAGAAGTTTGGAGACCCGGGACAAGTCCCCTAGTCCAGGTACACCACACTCTCCTGGTGATTACAAGTTTTCTTCCAGACTTTAACAATCAGTAGGTAGCTCCACCAGTATTTTGCATGCTACCTATTTGAATGACAATAATTTTGATGTTATCAAAAGTCTTGTGGAATTGAGGCAATAACTGATCTCAGAAGGTCGATAATAATCAATATTTTATAGTATTTACTGTGTGCAGAATATTGTTCTAAGCAGTTGTACATTTTAGCTCACTAAATTTCATAAGAAGCCTCTGAAGGTTATGCTATTTCCCTCATTTATGGAGGGAAGTGGAGTTTGTGACATAGTTACTGCCAGTAGAGTCAGGATTTGAACTGTGGGAATCTATTTCCCAAAGTCCACGATCCTTAACCATTATACTATACTATTCCTTTGAGCCCCATAGGAAGGCTTTATGAAAGGACCACACTTGATTACATGGGAGGCAGTATCTAAACTATATTTTGTGTCATTTCCTTCCCCAAACACCTGGCCTGGTCCTTTAAGTGGTCATTTGCTCAGCAACCCTAAACTTGTGTTAATATTAGCCTTTGCCAGGCATAGTTAGGAAAAGAAAATCTGCTGCAGAAATACAGCGGGGAGTGGGTTGGAAGAGTTTGCACGTCATGGGCTAGTTTTCAGTATCCACATCCTGCTGCTGTCCAAGTGTTCAGATTCTCTCTGAGGCACTTCACATACCTGAAGTCTTTGGTCCTGGGCTTTACTAGTCTTTACGATAGATAGCAGAAGGGTCAGGCGGACTTGATGGTCAGATTCCATTCAAGTCCTTAAATTGTATCAAAGTGAGGTAGCATTAAAAGAGCCCCTATGTTCACCCAATCAACACATTTATCGCACATCTCCTGGGTTAGGAACTGGTGATACATATATAAGCCTGGAGAATCCCAGAGACAGAGGAGACTGGTGGGCTGCTGTCTATGGGGTTGCACAGAGTCGGACACGACTGAAGCGACGCAGAAGCAAGGGCTTATACTCTACCAAATAATAACACACACACCCAAATAATTATACACAGGAGAATGTGGAAGTATGAAAAAAACGGAGAGAGATGACATCCATCTGAGGGGTTCTAGACTGGGGAGGAGTAATCAAGTTATGAAGAATGGGTCACCTGGGGAAGCGTGGGCTCTCTCAAATTCCCAGCCCCAGTGGAGGAAAAATTTGGCCCTGGTTCTTTTGCTTTATCTGATGTGTCCATAGTGGGAGAATTTGTGCTCTTAGCGGAGGAATCTGAACTGGAAGGCTTGCTACCAGCCCCACACTCCTAGGAAAAGCTGCTGCTTTTAACTTTGGGTATTATAATTTTTTTTTTCATTGTTCCAAGCTTTGAACAGAAGTATTGTGAAAGAGAGGTGGTTTGGAATTTATTTATTTGTGAGACCCAGGGGTGAGATGGGGTGGTGAGGGAAGAATTCCAGTGTAGAATTGGTGGTAGAGAGGAAAAGAAAGTGCAGGAAGGGAAACTATCCTAGTTTCAGCTTTAAATGCTTATCCTAAAAACCACCTCAGGCGAGAAGCTCCCTCTAGGGGTCACCTCATTTGTTTTCCCACCTTTAGAGACAAATTTCTTTTTGTTTTTTGTTATTATCAGGGTTCAGAGCAGGTAGCGCCCTTCCAGAAGCTGACGTGGGTAGAATGTGTCTGCTCACTGCACAAATCCAGACACCCCCCAGCTCACTCCCGCTCGCTGTCCCCCTCACATTTTACTCCTGGCCAAGGTAGCTTGTGTTTTCAGAGCTAAGCTGTTTAACTTTCCAGCCTGGCTTTTTGGTTGCTTATAATATTTTCCAATTTGAGCCTAAATTATAGAAAGAGGCTTTGGTGAGGAAGCTTTATAATATCTAAGCAAGAGATTAATAGCCACAAGTCACTTTTCCCTTGGGTCACTTTTCCTGAGCAATGCGTTTGCCGAGTCTCCCTAAGTTTCCTTTATGGTTAAGCACTCTCATCCTCTGAAGACACCACACATGCTGGTGGTGTGTGTCCAGAGAACATTGGTCGACTGTCTAGAGAACATTGTTGCTCTGTACAAAGTTTGGCTCTTGCTTTGGAACAGAAAACATCAGTCTCACCCCAATATCACCAGTATAGAGATAGAGGTCTAGGCCCCACAGGTTTCCCTCCAGACCCTTTGGTAACTGTTAAGAGCTAAGTAGTATTCTATAGGAGTGTAGGGACTTCTATTAAGCCTCCAAATAAAATTACTCCCAGTAACCCTGTCACTAGGGTTCGACAACCCTAGGGTTGACTTCAAACTGAATCCCAAACTCACCTTGGAATGGCTGTGCCCCATTAAACTTTTTCAGCCTCAGATTTCCTATCTGAGAAAGCCTACTTGTTACAGTTAGTGTGAGGACCACTAAGGGATACGAAGCATTGATTGTAATCCTCTTCCCTACAGGGAATGACCTGAATACTCTCTACTCTACTGTGAGAGGGGCTTACATCCTCTCCTCTTTTAAACGTGACTTTTCATGAGAATTCTACACAGTGAAACTTCCTGGTGGATTAGCAGGGAGAAGGGAAGAAGCAAAAGAGAAAACAAACATACTTCAGTATTCTTGACTCTGGTGAAATATATTATTAAAGTGAAGTTGCTCAGTCATGTCCAACTCTTTGCGACCCCGTGGACTATAGCCCACCAAGGCTCCTCCATCCATGGGATTCTCCAGGCAAGAATACTGGAGTGGGTTGCCATCTCCTTCTCCAGGGGATCTTCCCGACCCAAGGATCAAACCCAGGTCTCCCGCATTGCAGACAGACGCTTTAACCTCTGAGCCACCAGGGAAGCCCATGTGGTTAAATGCATGGGCTTTGGAGTCACAGAGACTGACCCAAGCTTGGTTTCGTGCTTGGCCAGTGGCCTTCAGTAAATTACTCAATCTCTCTGAGCCTCAGTTTCATCATCTCTGAAATGGATGACAAACATACCACAGGGTTGTAAATATTTAATGAGATAGTGTGTGTTGAGCACATACTAGGTACCTCAGGCTATTAGTAATGGAAACTACTAACCCTGCTATCAGGGCATCTAGGTGGTAAAGAGCAGGGGTACCTTCCATGAGGCCTGAGGTGGGAATGGGTCACCACCTGTGTAAGTCTCACTGAAGCTGCATTCTGCTCAGCCATGAACACTGGTGAGAGGGTAACAGGCAGGAAGGCCAGGGGTCTCCAAATGGAAAAAAGAGTCTGCAGGTGCCAGACATTTTTATCTCTCTTAAGTGGCAGGAAGAAACAAACCAGCGATATGTCTTTCCTTCTCTATACAAATTTAAAAGGAGGTTTCTCTCAACATGTTGTGTGGCCATGACACCTGGTCTCACCTGAAGCTAACTACTCTCAAACCTCGAGTTAACCAATACATTTTTTTTCATATGGAAATGTTGTCTTAAGCTATGTTAATGAACTCCAGACTCTACCTTCAAGTTGGTTCCGCCAAACAGCCTAAATTACTTACTCAGGTATTGTTCCCCTAATCTATGTAAACGAAACTATTTGTTGGTATTCTGCCCTTCTACGAGATTCAAGTCAATCGTTTTATGGCCAGGGATGAATTATCTGGTGCTTTTCTAAATTTTATGACATTCTTTTCATTAACAGACTGTGAGTGACTATATAACATACAGCTAAAGACTAGGAGGGGGGTACTCTTTTGTCCCCTTCTGATGCCTATGTCTGAAGCTTTCTCTATCTCCTTTATACTTTAGTAAAACTTTATTACACAAAAGCTCTGAGTGATCCAGCCTCGTCTCTGGCCCCGGATTGAATTCGTCTCCTCCGGAGGCCAAGAATCCCGCGTCTAATCGTTCAGCAACAACCTTTCACTGGCTTTTCCTCTTATTAGGGTCATAGGTGAAATTGTTGGTTGTGATGATTGAGAGGATTGCTTTGAGTCTGAGTTACTGGTTATACCAGGACTCTGAGGCTGTTTCCCCTTTTATTCTTTTGTCCTTTTTGGTGCATTGAGAAAGCGAGTGGTGCTTGAAATAAGGGATCGGTAAGAACTCAGCTCCATGCATGAAGCTATTAGAGTTAGGAATGGTAGGGAAATGCTCTTGGAGTGTCCCTGGAGGTCCCAGATGTTCCCCATCTCTACCCCTTGGTACACTTATCTCTCACTTCTTCCAGTACAACTCAGGCTGTGTGTCTCCCTCTCCTCTCCTCTCTGGCTACCCATACTACTGGCTACCCAGGCTACTAGACTCTTCTTTGGTCTGCAAAGGAGACTGTATCTGTTCTTACTTTGCTGTCCAAGGGCAGCTTTGAGGAGAGGGGCCTGTTCTAATCTCCTGGTTCTTTCCAGCCATGAGTGGGAACATGCAACAGCAATTATCTCCAGCCAGCTGGAGCTGCCAGTCCCAGGCTGACTACTACTAGAGAGGCACTGTGGGAACAGTTGTTATTCATTATTTACAGATGAAGATACTGAGGCATGAGAGCTTAACTTACCCAAAGTCACAGAGCCAGTATTTGAGCCCAGATAGTTTGACTCAAGAGCCCATGCTCTGCCTGTCACAACTCTGGCCTTTCGTCATGGCCACTTACCCTATATACCACGGAAATTGGAGGGCCTAAGGCCTAAAATATCTGGTGCCTCTTTTATTAATAAAAGTCTTACGCAATTCAGTTCTAACAGCAATGACCATAACAAAATAATTCTTAGACCTTTAGTCAGCACTTCCATGGCATCTCTGAAGACCTGTTAAATACCTGGCCCACCAGTGGGAGCACATCACAGTTGCCATGGGCACTATGTCATGCCGTAAAGATATTTAGTCGATAGCCCCTACTGTCTCCCTCCAATCAGCAGCCCTTCTCCATCATATTTAGCTAAAATTTTGGTAAACTCATCTTCCCCTGAGTGCCACTAGGTGAAATTGTTGGTTGTGATGATTGAGAGGATTGCTTTGAGTCTGAGTTACTGGTTATACCAGGACTCTGAGGCTGTTTCCCCTTTTATTCTTTTGTCCTTTTTGGTGCATTGAGAAAGCGAGTGGTGCTTGAAATAAGGGATCGGTAAGAACTCAGCTCCATGCATGAAGCTATTAGAGTTAGGAATGGTAGGGAAATGCTCTTGGAGTGTCCCTGGAGGTCCCAGATGTTCCCCATCTCTACCCCTTGGTACACTTATCTCTCACTTCTTCCAGTACAACTCAGGCTGTGTGTCTCCCTCTCCTCTCCTCTCTGGCTACCCATACTACTGGCTACCCAGGCTACTAGACTCTTCTTTGGTCTGCAAAGGAGACTGTATCTGTTCTTACTTTGCTGTCCAAGGGCAGCTTTGAGGAGAGGGGCCTGTTCTAATCTCCTGGTTCTTTCCAGCCATGAGTGGGAACATGCAACAGCAATTATCTCCAGCCAGCTGGAGCTGCCAGTCCCAGGCTGACTACTACTAGAGAGGCACTGTGGGAACAGTTGTTATTCATTATTTACAGATGAAGATACTGAGGCATGAGAGCTTAACTTACCCAAAGTCACAGAGCCAGTATTTGAGCCCAGATAGTTTGACTCAAGAGCCCATGCTCTGCCTGTCACAACTCTGGCCTTTCGTCATGGCCACTCACCCTATATACCACGGAAATTGGAGGGCCTAAGGCCTAAAATATCTGGTGCCTCTTTTATTAATAAAAGTCTTACGCAATTCAGTTCTAACAGCAATGACCATAACAAAATAATTCTTAGACCTTTAGTCAGCACTTCCATGGCATCTCTGAAGACCTGTTAAATACCTGGCCCACCAGTGGGAGCACATCACAGTTGCCATGGGCACTATGTCATGCCGTAAAGATATTTAGTCGATAGCCCCTACTGTCTCCCTCCAATCAGCAGCCCTTCTCCATCATATTTAGCTAAAATTTTGGTAAACTCATCTTCCCCTGAGTGCCACGACTGCTGGGGCTTGGTGTGTATGTACTCTCTTGTGTACCTGTTTTGTGTACCTGTCCTGGGACTACTTTGGCGGGGCTGGGGGTCTTCATTGTAGTAGACAGGCTTTCTCTAGTTTGGGTACATGGGGTCTTCTCTCTAGTTGTAGTGGATGGGCTTCTCTTGTTTCAGAGCACAGGCTCTAGAGCACATGGGCTTCAATCATTGTGGCTCACCGGTTTAGTTGCCCAGCATCATGTGTGATCTTAATTCCCCGACCGGGCTTAACCCGTGTCCCCTGTATTGGAGGGTGGATTCTTAACCGCTGGACCACCAGCGAAGTCCCAGGAACCCTGGGATGTTGAGAAAGGCCATCAGGAACTTTATTTGCAAGAAGGCTTACAGAAGCCTTCTGTGAGAGAAGATGAGGGGGTTTTTTGAGGCTGAGATCAGAGTCCAGAGACAGTGGGGGTAATTCCCAAAGCCCTTGTGGCAGTAGGACCCATGAGACTAAAACAAGGAGCTGCCTGAAAAAGCAGGAACCCCTGGAGTCCTTGGCAGGGCGGGGGCTTAGAGTTAGGACCCCCACCCCTACACAAGATTTCTGACAGAGAAAACAAGAATTGCAGTTTAATCCTTTGTAACAGTCCTATCCAACAGGATTTTCTGTGATGACTGTCCAATATGGTAGTCACCAAACATGTCACATGTGACACTTGGATGATAGATGGGAGGCTGAGGAACTGAATTTTTAAATTTTATCATTATTTCCTATGAGGTCATTTACATGAATTCAATACTAACTATTGAAAGTTTTATAATTTTCTGTACAGCCTTGGCACTCCTGGATGAGTAGAAGTGGTGGTTATGGATATTCAGGAGGGGGTTGGCCATTAGTGGCCCTCTGCCTTTAGCCAAATGTTTAAAATATATATGTCACCCTGGAAAGAATATGGGCATTAAGGTCAGACAGACCCAGGATCCAGAGAGATCCTGGCTCTTGGGCAAGTTTCCTTTAACCATTAAAGGATTAAGGATTAAACTGGACAACAACTGTAAAGTGCCTGATCAGAGTTGTTCGCACTTGGGAAATCCCTGGTGGTCCAGTGGTTAGCAGTGCTTTCACTGCTGGGGTCCCAGGTTCAATCCGTGGTAGGGAACTGAGATCCCACAAGTCCTGTGATGAAGCAAAAAAAAAAAAAGACTTCCCTGGTGGTGCAGTGTTTAAGAATCTTCCTGCTAATGCAGAGGACATGGGTTTGATTCCTGGTCCAGGAAGATCCCACATGCAGGGCAACTGTGGTCATGCACCACAACTTCTGAACCCACATTCTAGGGCCCGCTGAACCACAACTTAGGAGCCCGTGTGCCGCAACTACTGAAGCCTGTAAATCTAGGGCCCGTACTCCACAGAGTAGACCCTGCAATGCGAAGCTCACCCACCATGAGGAAGAGTAGCCTGTGCTCGCCACTAGAGAAAACCTACTCGCAGCAACAAAACCTCAGTGCAACCAAAACAATAAAGAAGAAAAAAAAATTTTTTTAAGTGATCCCTGAAGAGCAGCATTAACAGAACTTGGAATCTTTAAAAAAAAAAAAAAGAGTTGTTCCTGCTCAAATGCCCACCTCTTCTCTTCTAGGATTGTGCTCCCCCACTGCTGGAGGTCCTCACTTCTACCCCAGGCCCTGTCTCTGCTTCCTGGATGTTCACACAGTAAGAAGACAGAACAGTCACCATCCTGTGCCAGAACTGGGTGTGTGCCTCACGCCAAGACAGAAAACAAATGATTGGGATGGGCATATCATCATCCTGTCAGGTCTCTGGCGGCATCCTGAATTGATTCCTGGTCCAGGAAGATCCCACATGCAGGGCAACTGTGGTCATGCACCACAACTTCTGAACCCACATTCTAGGGCCCGCTGAACCACAACTAAGGAGCCCGTGTGCCGCAACTACTGAAGCCTGTAAATCTAGGGCCTGTAGTCCACAGAGTAGACCCCGCAATGCGAAGCTCACCCACCATGAGGAAGAGTAGCCTGTGCTCGCCACTAGAGAAAACCTACTCACAGCAACAAAACCTCAGTGCAACCAAAACAATAAAGAAGAAAAAAAAATTTTTTTTTAAGTGGTCCCTGAAGAGCAGCATTAACAGCACTTGGAATCTTTAAAAAAAAAAAAAAAAGAGTTGTTCCTGCTCAAATGCCCACCTCTTCTCTTCTAGCACTGTGCTCCCCCACTGCTGGAGGTCCTCACTTCTACCCCAGGCCCTGTCTCTGCTTCCTGGATGTTCACACAGTAAGAAGACAAAACAGTCACCATCCTGTGCCAGAACTGGGTGTGTGCCTCACACCAAGACAGAAAACAAATGATTGGGATGGGCATATCATCATCCTGTCAGGTCTCTGGCGGCATCCTGAAGACTTGAAAAGGAAAGGAAACACCCAAGTACCTCATCTCACCCCAACAGATGTGCTGAGAAGAGGCCCTACCAGTGGGAGGGTCCAGTCCTCGAAGTGTTGGGGATGAAACCCGTTCTCTCCTTGTCTGGGAGGCCAGGGTGTGGCTGGAGACCTGGATGCCAGAGCGCCACATCCTAGGGTAAGTTGGGGTGGAACATGGAGACTCCAACGCAACCCTAGAATAGGAGCTAGAGAGGAGGGAAGGAGAGGGTGGTGGGCTGCCCACCTGCCACCCCTACCCTCTCCCTTGGGCATTGCCAGCTGGAGGGTTAAGCTTCCTTCCTCCTAACACGCAACTTGAGTGAGGAGTGTCACTTGACCTCAGGGCACATTCCAGAATGAGGTCACGGCCAAGAATAGGACCGGGGAACCCTGCCCTCCATCCTGCCTGTATTAATCACCCACTCCCAGAGCCAGAGGGAGACTTCAGACTCCTTGGGGAGGGGGAGGGGACAGTATCAGGAAGCAGAGCTGGGAAAAAGGAGGGAAGACCCCAGAGGAGCCCCCTCACACCCTTGCAGCTGCCCGGTGCCCCACATGGCCCTTGCTCCAGGGCCATTTGTTCATCCAGTGAATCCTTCTGGAACTCTGTCAGCTGGGCCCACAGGCCTCCCCCAGAGCCCTAGGCAGTGACCCTGGCCAAGGAACAGTGCAAGTGTCAAGGGGGACAGAAACTGGGAGAAGATTGTTTGTGCAGCCTGGGGACGATGGAGGCCCCGGAGGAGCTGAGGCCTGAAGGGTGAGTAGGCTCAGGAATCTAGGCCATGACTGCTCTTGCGTGTGATAGAAATACCATGTGACGCGTAGGATCATAAGCATGGGCTGGTGTGCATGAGGCTGATGAGAGGCAGCCTCTTTGGAGACATTTGAGTTCCTGATGGGATTCCACGCTGCCCAGCCCAGAGCTGTGTGTGTGTGCGCGTGTGTGACATGCTGGGAGAAACAACGTAGCATGAGCATAAAGAGCCTAGAAATCAGACTGCCTTGGTTCAAATCTTGGCTCTGTCCCTTAATGGCTGGGTGATCTTGGGCAAGTTTCTTATCCCCTCTCACCTCAGTTTTCCCACCTACAAAACAGCATTCTGTCTCCCACGTTTGTGATGGAGATGACAAGACCTACTGCCTGTACTGTAGCAACCACCCACTCAGTGTTGATGTTAACAGCAGGACGATTGGACACAGGGCATCCTCCCCAGCCTGGGGAAACTGCTCTGTGGCTGTGGATTTATTCTCCCCCTTTCTTCATCAGGTTCTGCCCCTGGTCCCTGCTCTCTGGCCCCACTATCCAGGGGATGACATCAGACTATGGAGCGGCTGGGCAGACAATGGAACAGAGTGTCCTAGAAGGCCAGAGGTGCTGGGGGAGGCAGAGGGTGGAAAAAGCCAAGCTGCCATGCCCCAGAGGCCTCAGGGCTGGTCTAGAGACAGCCAGCACCAGAACAAGCCTCTGAAGAGGCAAATGGAGAGACCAGAGGGTTGCAGGGAGTGGGGGGTGTGGGGCAGACAACAGATGCAAGGAGGGGAGGAACCAATATCCAGTGTAGACAGGAAAGCAGATGAATCTGACCTCAGACCTGAAGGAGGGCTCAATCCCCCTATGTTCTGGGGCCAAATCTCCCAGTGGGGCAGCCTCTCTAGGTCACCTGGCAACCAGGCCCTGGGATTTCAGTTCATCTTGTACTGAGCACCTTTCAGAAGTCAGTTCCTGTGTAAGGCCTGGGTGACAGAGCAAGAGACAGACCGGTTTCAAGGACAGAAAACAAATGCCATGTGATAGGTCCACAAGGATAATTGATTCTCTATCACCCTTTCTCCAAGTAGCTATGTTTTACAAATCCCAAATCAGCCTATGTGGAGTAGTCAGTTCTGAGCAGCAGAATACAATATTTGAAACTATGTGGTCTCTGAGCCTTCAAAACCCGAGATCTGGATGGAAGAGCGAGGGGCGGGCTGTAGGTCCTGGGGGCCTGCTCTCAGCCAGGGAGCTGCCAAGGGCATGGAGGGGGCCCAGGGGCAGCCATCTGTGCCAAGTTCTGTTTTCTAGGCTTTTCAGTTCAGTGCAGATAATAGGGTAGAGCTCCCCAAGTCTCCATGAAGTGCTCTGTCCTACAGATGAGGAAACTGAGGCTCAAAGAGATGGCAGCTATGTGTCAGAGCCCAGATTCAGCCTTAGGTGGATCTGACTCCACAGGCTGGGCCTTCCCACCCTGTCAATGTGGGGCTGGAGTGTGACAGGGACCCCAAGTCTGTGGCTATGTGTCAGCAGTGAGCCTGTGAGAGGAAGCCTGAGATTGGACCCCTGAATCTCACACTTCCACATCTATGCAAGTGGAGGGAAGTGGGGAGGTGACAGATGCTGGCACGTAGGCACTTGCCCCCTCAGGTTCTAAGGTGATGTGCTATTATTAGGGCACCTCAACCTAGAAGCAGGTACAATAGTATGTCCCCAATCTGAGGGAGGGTGAGGAGCCAAGTCCTCAGTCCCAGATTTCAAGACCTGAATGGTTGGGTCCTGAGCCTGTGCTCACACCTTCTTGGTTAAGTTCTGTGCTTAGCATTTTCTTGGTGGCGACTTGAGAAGCTCCCATTCCTCTGGCCTCTCTTCTCTCAGGGAGCAGCTTGTCTTCTTGATCCCAACCCCTCCTTATTGCAGGGAATTATCTCTAATCATCAGGTTCTGCCCCTGGTCCCTGCTCTCTGGCCCCACTATCCAGGGGATGACATCAGACTATGGAGCGGCTGGGCAGACAATGGAACAGAGTGTCCTAGAAGGCCAGAGGTGCTGGGGGAGGCAGAGGGTGGAAAAAGCCAAGCTGCCATGCCCCAGAGGCCTCAGGGCTGGTCTAGAGACAGCCAGCACCAGAACAAGCCTCTGAAGAGGCAAATGGAGAGACCAGAGGGTTGCAGGGAGTGGGGGGTGTGGGGCAGACAACAGATACAAGGAGGGGAGGAACCAATATCCAGTGTAGACAGGAAAGCAGATGAATCTGACCTCAGACCTGAAGGAAGGCTCAATCCCCCTATGTTCTGGGGCCAAATCTCCCAGTGGGGCAGCCTCTCTAGGTCACCTGGCAACCAGGCCCTGGGATTTCAGTTCATCTTGTACTGAGCACCTTTCAGAAGTCAGTTCCTGTGTAAGGCCTGGGTGACAGAGCAAGAGACAGACCGGTTTCAAGGACAGAAAACAAATGCCATGTGATAGGTCCACAAGGATAATTGATTCTCTATCACCCTTTCTCCAAGTAGCTATGTTTTACAAATCCCAAATCAGCCTATGTGGAGTAGTCAGTTCTGAGCAGCAGAATACAATATTTGAAACTATGTGGTCTCTGAGCCTTCAAAACCCGAGATCTGGATGGAAGAGCGAGGGGCGGGCTGTAGGTCCTGGGGGCCTGCTCTCAGCCAGGGAGCTGCCAAGGGCATGGAGGGGGCCCAGGGGCAGCCATCTGTGCCAAGTTCTGTTTTCTAGGCTTTTCAGTTCAGTGCAGATAATAGGGTAGAGCTCCCCAAGTCTCCATGAAGTGCTCTGTCCTACAGATGAGGAAACTGAGGCTCAAAGAGATGGCAGCTATGTGTCAGAGCCCAGATTCAGCCTTAGGTGGATCTGACTCCACAGGCTGGGCCTTCCCACCCTGTCAATGTGGGGCTGGAGTGTGACAGGGACCCCAAGTCTGTGGCTATGTGTCAGCAGTGAGCCTGTGAGAGGAAGCCTGAGATTGGACCCCTGAATCTCACACTTCCACATCTATGCAAGTGGAGGGAAGTGGGGAGGTGACAGATGCTGGCACGTAGGCACTTGCCCCCTCAGGTTCTAAGGTGATGTGCTATTATTAGGGCACCTCAACCTAGAAGCAGGTACAATAGTATGTCCCCAATCTGAGGGAGGGTGAGGAGCCAAGTCCTCAGTCCCAGATTTCAAGACCTGAATGGTTGGGTCCTGAGCCTGTGCTCACACCTTCTTGGTTAAGTTCTGTGCTTAGCATTTTCTTGGTGGCGACTTGAGAAGCTCCCATTCCTCTGGCCTCTCTTCTCTCAGGGAGCAGCTTGTCTTCTTGATCCCAACCCCTCCTTATTGCAGGGAATTATCTCTAAAGAGGAATTGGCCCGACTGGGCTGAACTGAGCCTGAATTCTTCCTTTGGGCTGTGGCCCGGAAAGACCAGAGAAATGCAGAGGGATCAGGTGTCCCTCGTGCTTAGCTGGCTTCCAGCCTAGGGGACAGACAAGCTGGGGTCATGCCCTGGCTGGAGGCTCCTGAACACATCTCTGGGAAGGGGAGCAGCCAGGAGCCCCTGAGACCAAAGGTGCTGCTGCTGCAGCCTGGAAACCTGATCACACACTCTGAGCACCCAGTGCTTTGGGACCAGGCCTCACCCAGAGACCCCCCCAGGGAGTCACAGCCAGACAGAATGGTCCCCCTTCCCACTCCTGTCTCCCCCTATTGTGAGGGGGCAGGGGACTGAACTGAGATACAAAGCAGAACGCCTGGGCTTCCACCGAATGCCTCCCCGCCCAAGTCCCTGGGTGAGTCACCTGGCCTCAGCTCTCCTGTGCCTAATGCCCAGAACTGCAGTGAGCACCACAGTAAGGAGTCTTGGAGCTGCAAAATGGGCGGAGTGTTAGCAGTGTCTCTCCATCACTCAAATGGGATCCAGTTGGCCAGATTCCCCCTATGCTCCCCCCTAGGTAGGTCACCAAAGCAAATGACACTGCCCAGCACTCCCCGCTCCCACCTACACATCAGCCCAAGCGAACCACACGGGAAGGGCTGTCGATACTATGAGCTTTTAATTGACATCTTCCCCCTACATTTGAGGAAGAAATGAGAATGCCCCACAGTGACCTTCTTCAGCTTTGGAGGGACATGGGCATAATGAAGGATGAGGATTGAAGAGGGGTAGATGAAGAGCTGACAGTGGCTTTCTCAAATCCTAAATCTAATAGTGGGGTAGCGGACTTGTCCTGGAAGTTCAGAAACAGAAATCAACAAGCTGCCACATCCTCAAACTGGCCCTCCCAGTCCACACCTAGAGCCTCCTTCTAGGTCCCTGCAGCTCCGAAGATCACCACCAGATGGCAGCATCGAGCAGCATTCCTTTCCCTTCCCAAGCCTACCTCCCGGTCTTCCCTCTTTTCTTCTTTCACCAACCCACCTCCCTGCCTTGCTAGTCTCCTTTATTTCTCTTCCCATCAAAACAGATCCTGGGGCTTCTGTTGACTTTATGTCTGAGGAAGCCAGTGGCAACTGAGAGCACACTATCTGATAAAGGGATCTTTTGCCAGCTGGGAGCACCAGCCATTAATCTGCTTCTGGGAGAGCCCTGGGATCTGGACATTTGTGTTCAATCACTGTAAGCTGGACAGTAACTAACATCTCTCTGTGGTCCTATCACCTGGCACCCAGTCAATGTTCAGAAAATGTCCACTGACTTGGACTGAATAAAACTGAATCAACAAATCAAACATCAGTAAAGCAATCAATAAGGCCAGGGAGAAGAAGCACGACAAACATATTCTGCTTGCACTGGTGGCCTCAGAGACTGCTAGGCCAACGTGATCAAAGCACAGGCTGGCCACCACCCAAAGGACTTGCTTGGCAGCCTCCCTTAAGGCAAGTTGTGCACTGGGCTGGATCATGCCTCCTGCTTCCCGCTTCCCACAACCCTTGCCATGAAGTAGTCTCTGTTCATAGTGCTCTGGGGGGCTGTGGGAAGTTTATCCAATTAGTTCTGGGGCCCTCCTTTCTATCCCCACCTACCTTTTTAGCAAACCAATTCATTCAATTATTCCTGTGACCATCATTCAGCCAGTTGCCATCTCTAGAATCCTACCTGGGAGTCTGGCTAGGGGCAGGGAGTCTGGGAGAGCCAGGGGAGGGAGTGGTCAGTCAAAAGAAGATAACAAAGTCAGAGGAGACTGGTCATCAGGAATAACCTGCAAATGTCGGTTGACTTCGTTTGTCCCCCTCACATAAAAAGACATGCCCCCCCCATTATCAAACCCAAAGAATAGAAGCTGATTTAAGATCCTCTGGTGGCCTTTTACTGATGCATTGACTGATTTTCCCCTGTTGGCCTAAGACTGTCTAATCTGACCTTGCCCAGTTTGCTGACTGAGGGGTGCCAGGAATGGGTAAGTAGAAGAGGATCAGAAAGAGGGCTGGGGAGGGGCAGAGGGCTTCACTGCAAGCCTGGGAAGTCCTTGAGGACGTCGCAGGTTTTCTTGTGCATGACCTCACGCAGCTTCCGAGCCCGCCGGGTGCTCGAGGCTCCCACAAAGCTGTCGGGCCGCAGCATGGCCATGCCGCCGTCCACCTCGCCCATGATGATGAGTGGCATCTCGCCCACTGTCACATTGGGGCAAGGGCAGGTCCAGTCCATGTGGAGCAGAGTGACCTCCAGTGGCTCCCGGCCCAGGAACTTGAGGCCCATCTTCTCATCCTTTAGGACCTCGTCCACAGTCACTAGGGCACGGCCTGAATCGGGCTCCTCGGTCAGCTCGGAGATTCGGCCCAAGATAACAAAGTCACTCCGACAGAAGCTGGTGACGAGTTTCTGCCTTGGCTTGCAGGCCCGGCAGCGCTGGTTCCCCCGAGGGAAGGGGCAGGACTCCTCGCAGTCCTCACGGCTCTCAAAGTTGTTGCCGTTGCCCTCGCAGCCGCCGTAGACAAAGGACTGGCACTGGCCCGTCTGGCTGTTGTAGGCCCAGCGGGGCTCATAGGCCTTGCAGGGCCCCTGCAAGGCAGGCAGGCTGCACACGGCCAGCGACCCACTCATGCAGGCCAGCATGCAGGCCTCATAGGTCTCAAAGTGGTTGCGGTTGCGGTGGCAGTGGCCGAAGGTGAAGGTCAAGCAGTTGTTGGCTTGGGCGTCAAAGTACCAGCGGGTCTGCTCCTCACCACAATCATCACTGTCAGGGGGCTTCAGGCACTCAGCTGTGGGGAAGGCCGTGCCATTGGGGCTACTCTCTGCGGTGGCTGAAGCCTGACCCCCACTGACCACCGACAGTGGGAAGTCAGCACGCAGGACACCAGCAGCATTGCGGGCCGTGCAGGTGTAGATGCCAGCATCCTGGGGCTGGGCATTGTAGATGACCAGCTGGGCAATGTTGGTGACCACCACATTGCCGCGTACATGGTTGGGTCTCATAACCACATTCTCCCGGTCCTCCAGCTGCTTCTCCCAGGTGATCTCGGGCCGGGGCCGGCCCACCACATCACAAAGAAAGCTCACTGTCTCACCCACAGTGACTGACTGGTGCGCAGGGTGGTTGAGCAGAGCTGGGGCCGTGGCGTCCAGCCCAGGGGTCTCTGGGGGAGCCGTGGTGGGATGCACAGTGGTCTCCGGTGGCGAGGGGCTGGTGTTGGGCCAGGTGAAGTGATAGCGGCAGGTGACGACAGCCAGTGTGATGCCCTTGGAGCAGGCTTCAGCGTCCATGTAGCAGCGGTTATAGTAGGTGAGGCCATCGGAGGCGCAGGTAAAACTGGGCTCCTTCTCGCAGCGATCTCTGCATTTGCACACTGGCTGGCCATCCCAGATGTCACATTCAGAGCCCTGCTGCAGACACATGAAATGGTCGCATGTGGCCTCCTTGGGCATGCCCACAGGGCCCTTCTTCCCCTTCACATCCATGTAGCGGGCTGCCACGCAGCTCTTGGTCCCACACACGTTGGGGCAGCACTTCTCATAAGTCTCACACTCCTGGGGAGAGCCAGATGGAGAGGTCTGAGCAAGGAGGAGAAGGGAGAGGGCACAGGCCTCCCCCACCTTCCCCCATGGTTTACAGGGAAGGGAACTAATATGTGCTCACCTATCATGAGAAAATCATTTTGATATAATAACTAACGTATTCATAGTACCCACTATTTGCCAGGCCCTCTTCTAAAAATGTTTACAACTGTCAACTTATCTCATGCTCATTACAATGGGTATAGCCATCATTCTCACTTCACAGGCAATGAAAACTGAGGCCCCGTGAGATAAGGGAACTTTCCCAAGGTCACACAGTGAGCAGTGTGGGAAGAGGCAGATCACATACTGCACGAGGGAAAGTCTTCCTGCTACCATGAGATGAAATGAGAATGTGAAGACTAAGCGAGGTGACACTCAAGCCCTCAGAGCTGGGAACTGGTGGGAAAGGACTTCAAGCTCCAGGTGATGGGATTCAGAAATGAGAGTTTTTTTGTCTGCAACTTAGCATTCCCACAGTGAGGTGTCCCCTGGAACAGTTGAGCCTGCCTTTGTGTCTTTTCCATCGGGAATGCCCTGGCCAAATGCTAAGAAGGAAAAGTCAGACACTGCTGGGACAGCTGTTCAAAGCTGTGCCTGTACATAAGGAATGCACATGTACACATCAGGCAGCTCTCATGCTGACCCCTGTTCATCCAAAGCCTAGAGGAAGGGCAGGCAAGGCAGGCCCAGGACATCAGGTCTCACCACTGTGGGCCGTGCTAGTTCCAACATGTGAGACTTTGCATGGGGAAATCAATAGCAAAAAAAAAAAGTCCCCATGTGTGGCAAAGGTCAGCCAGGCCGTCATCGAGGACTTGCCAGGCTGTAATTCCTTCTGATTCTCTGTGGAGCCATGAAAGGCATTAGTCTAATTCCTCAAAATTAGCAACATGCTCTGGGGCTGACACAAACAAGGATTTCACGTGGTGTTTTCTCCAGGATGTGGGCAATGCCCCTAATCCTGAGCCCTGGTCATGGCTCTGTGAGCTGCTCCCCACCAGGGCTGGCCTCATGCGGCCGCATCAGCTGAGGGCTGCGTGGAGCCTGCCTGCTAGACTTGTTTACTGTTTTCCCCTCTCGGCTCAGAATGGGGACTTTGTTTTGCAGCCCTTGCTTGGCATAGGCTTCTAGGCCACACCAGGGAGGCTCTAGGGCAGAGATGGACAGATCTCAGAGCCGGGTTCTGAGGGAGAGGGACCTAGTGGGGGTGAGGGCAGGCGGGGGCTGAGCAGCAGGAAAACCTGCTCCTTGCCCAAGCATCCCAGTTCCTTAAAGACTCTGGCCTGGGAATCTCCTTCAGGACTTGGAGGCCCATGAAAGACTGGGTCCTTGAGGAAAAGGGGAAGGTAATTCTGGGCACAGAAAACCTGGAGGGAATTTTCAGAACGGTTTTTACTTAAGGGCTCAGAATGTATCCATAGGCTAAGTCCCCAGCCTCACAGAGAAGCTTCTCCCCAAAACATAAAATCAGCCAGAGTCTCACTGTCTCCAAGCCCCACCTGATTTATCAGGCCAGGCTGTGCACCTGAAACAGCCTTGCCTACAAATGTAGCCAACCAACCGCCTGATCTCAGCCAGATAGGAACACTTTTCCACCCCAGCCCGTCTTTATCTTCCTTTCCCTCGGCTCCCCCATTGCTCATGAACAGTAAGAGGCTGGGATTGTCTCCTGGGCTCTCTGAGGGACAGGCCACTCTCTCCAGGACCAGTCTGGGCTCTCACAGTCTATGTACATTTGGCAGAGGGAGCACCCTTGGTGATGCCCAGACTGGTCCGAGCCCAGGAGCTGCCAGACTGTCAGGAATTACTTCTGCCTAGGCAGGTGCCAGGTACTAGCAGGCTCTTCACCCTGAGAGAAGTAACAGGAACAACCCTTGAATGCAGGAGCAGGGAGAGAATTGTCCTAGCACCAGGTTGATCCAGGCCTGCCCTGAGCACTGGGAAGCTTAAGGGATCTCCCAGGTTGAAACCTAGCCCACTTCCCTCTCACAGACACCCAGAGAGTCTATTCAGATCCACTCCTGCCCACCCTCCCCATCAGCCCGCACTGATGTCAGGGTCAGGGTCCTAACCCCCAGAGGTGGCCCAGAGGCTGGATGAAGCATCAGCTTTGTGGTCAGATGGATGCGGATCTGACCTCCCTTGCCTTGGAGCCTTGTGCAGTTCAGTGCAGTGCCCTGAGTTTCTCTCTCACCTGTTGACAGGCTGCGGGTGGGTTGTGCCAGTCTCTCTGATGTGCCTGGCATAGTGCTGGCTCAGAGCAGCCCTCAGCAGACCTGAGACCAGGAATCCAAGGATTTCCAGCCCCTGAGAAATTCCAACATCATGCTCATCTCTTCTTCCAGGCCTCGAAGTTAAGACATCACACCCTGTTCATGTCCATGTGGCCCGGGGCCAGGTTCTTTCACGTTTTGAGTTGTTCTCACCACCCAGCTCCCACTCTGCCTCACCACCAAGACTGCTTGGCCTGGCTCAGGCCTCCGGATTCACACTCACCTGGTCCGTCTCACACTCCCGCTTGCAGGTGCTCTGGGCATCCACCCAGAGGTTGGGATTCATGTCGTTGGGACAGATGCCGGCGTGAGAGTATCGGAGGGGCGGCAGGGCCAGGCCTCGAGGGGGCACCCCAAGCAGCAGCAACAGCAGGGCTGCCCGCTGCCCCCAGCGGGGCCAGGAACGGCAGCCCCACAGGGCCCACATGCTGAGGTCTGCGGCAGCCCGAGACCTCCCCTGAGAGGACGCCAGGGCTGGGGGCCCCCTGGGCCTTCTGCTCCTCAGGGCTGCAGACACCTGCCCTGCCCACCCCAGTGGGCCTCCTTGGGCTGCTGCGGCTGCTGAGGCTGCCTCCACCGAGTCTGTGGAGTCCGCCGGGCTGTGGAGCCTCAGATAAAGGGAGCTCCTTCTCCGGAGTGTGCCTGGAGAGGAGCCGCACCGGGGCCAGAGCCTGGATTTATGTCCTGGGCGCGCCACCCGAGTGGGAGCGAGCTAACCTGACGCCTGTCACAGGCAGGCTGCCGGCTTCTCTGTCCTGTGGCTGATCACAGACTTGTTGCAGGAAAAAAAAAAAAGCTGGAAGCAGTTTAGGCGGCGTATCTGGCACGGTGGGACACCTGCTTGTTTTTGACTCCAGGAGGCCTTTAACCCCTTCAGGGGCCAGAAATGGCATGTGCTTTGGGGGGAGCTGGCTCCAGGACACGCAAGCTCACTGTACTACATGAAGAGGCTTGCTTCCCTTCCCCCCACCTCTCAGCCGGGCCCCCTCCTCCCGTTGGCCACCTCCGAAGAACACACACTCACTTGTTACAAGGAGGGACCTGCAGCCGCAGGGTTAGCATCGCCGGCCCGATAGTACATCTGAGAGCAAATGACGTGGAAAAACAACAAGTTCACGGCCATTCCAGGGCGGGCCTGAGCAGCCTGTTCTGTGTAAGCCGACTCCCACCCCAGCACCAGGTCCCAGGGTGGAGGGACGTGCGGACAGCCCCCTATCTCTCTATCCTGGGTAGTTTGCGTCTCAAGTTCCAACTTCGGTGAATTTTCCCCAAATCATTCCAGAGACACATACCAGCTATGCTCCAGCTCCCCCAGCTCCGGGACGTATCACATTCCTGCTCCTCGACTGACACACTCCCCGCTCCAAGAGAACCTACGTGGTCACAGTGTCTCAGGACAGTGCTGGGCAGCCGAGCTGCCTCGCTAACGACCATGAAGCTTTTACCCAGGAAGAGCCAGTTGGCTGTCATCTCCCCACTTTATGAAGGAGAAGGTCACCCCTGGTAAACAGCAGTAGAATATTTCCTGGGGTCGTAACGTGGGCCAGACTGTGTGCATTTTCTCATTTAATCCTCACAACAAACTCTACCTTCATTTTAGATTTGAGGAAAAGATAGGGTAAGCAACTTGCCCTGTGTCACACAGCTATGTGACCCCACCATTAATGCATGGACCCTAGTTTGCAGGGCCTTTGAAATCACCCCTCCCCACCAAGCTGTCAAACTGCTGTCAAGGGGCAACCCGACTCTAGTCTCTACAAGCTGGACAAGAAGTTTGTGAAACATCAAGGACTGTATTGGAGAAGGAGCCAGGAAAAGAGCCAGAAGCTGCCAGGGGGCGGGGAAGAGAGAGGTTACCTTTTCAAGGCCAACTGCAAAGGATTTGGGGAGCAGTAACCAAGCTGCTGTGTCCCAGGGGCAGTAGAAAGGGGTGCGGCCCCAATCTTTTCACAGATGGGGAAACTGAGACCACTCTCCCCTCAGGCCAGACCCCAACATCTAGTTGCTCTGTAGAAGGGCGTGCCCCTCCCTCCACCCTGAAGATTTTGCTTCTTCCTCTCGGGCAGGGTATTGTCTCCTCCCCTGAGCCAAGTCCTTCCTGTCTGTGGGTCATTCTGCAAGATCTGTCTTTTCTGCTTATGTCAAAGAGCTAATGAAGGGTGTCAGATCCTAATCCCCTAAATTATTGGAATAAACTTCCCTCCGAGGCTGGTCCCAGTAATGAAGCCAGACAGCAGGCGACGCCGGCTGCTTTGAATTCCCTGTAATTTCATAAACCCGTGTTCCAGCTGCTCCGAGTTGGGCCTCAGCACAGCCCTTGATGAACATGGTTTGTGCTGCCTCCTTTGATATCACAAAGGGAAATGGACAGTGACACATTTCTGAGCAGGAGTTAGAAAAACTGTCACAGCCCCATTACATGAGACAGGTATCTAGGAAAAGGAGGCTGATTTCTTGGGAGTCACTTGAAACCATTAGGAGGGAGGTGAGTGCGTAGGGACATAGGCCAGAGGTGGGGGAGGAGAGGGGGAGTCCCCCGCCCAGCCCGGTCCTATTGAGAGCTGTGGGCTTCCCCCTGCCCAGGCCCCACTCCCGGCCATTCTGCTCTGAGAACTCTCAAAACAGCACTGGGGAAGAAGGGGCCCTAGTACACTCAGCTCTCCCTCTTAGCCCTTCCAAGTCTCCCACCAAAACACAGCTCAGAATAATAAATAACATCTGATCAGGGCTTGGCGCCCACACAGCACTTTCACCTACATCGTCATGCTGACCCTCACGCCAGTCCCGGAGGGAACCCAGGTGTGGCTGTGAGCTCAGTTTTATGAGAGAAGAAACCAAGCCGCAGAGGGGTGACGTGGGCCTGGCTGGGGTCTCCAGGCTCTGGCCTTCCCCTCTCTGACCCCGGTCCTCTGCTCTTCACACAGCCCGGTGCGTGCTTCCAGACCCTCCAGAAAGGCCCCTGCTGGCCGCCTCACCAGCTCAGCTTGTTTATAAGCTGTTCAGGGAGTGCTTTGAAGTCCTCTCCTCCTGGGCCTTCTCTCCCACAGTCCCTGGATCTGGCTCCCTCTGACTCTGTTCCCTTCATGCCCTTCTCTGGAGGGTGGCGTGGAACCCATGCTCACCAACTCCCCAGGACAGCTGAGGGCTCAGCTGTCTGTTCCCACCTACTCAGGCCTCTGGGGAGTGGAGATGCGGTGGGTCAGCCTGAGCAGGGGCCTGAACTTGCGGGTGTCCTCTGCCTTTCACCCTCCCTAAGGAATCAGGCATAGATCTGTCTGGAAGGGCCTGTATCCTGACCTTGTCTCAGAAGAGCCCCACCACTGTGGGAAGGCAGAGGGCCCATGGACCCTTCATACCTTCTAGGACGGGTTCAAAGCCTACTCTAGGTGTAGCCAGTAGGAAGTCAGCCAGGACAGAGAATTCTGGATGACCCTTGACCTCAAGATCACCCTTAGCAGAACAATTCCCAAACCACTAGAATATTGACAACACACTGACATTGCTTCCTAAATGGGCCAGGTCTCCTCCCTCCAATGACTTCAGCTATAAACACGGTGGGGACACCTGGAGATCCACAGGGACACCAAGCAGCATCTCAGATGCCATGTCCCTCATGCACAGACCAAACCTCTTACCTCTTGAAGCATCTCTTCCCGCTCCCTTCTTGATGTTTTCTAAAGCAACTACTATGGGCTAATTTGTGGGTACACAGGGATAGATGGCAGTCCTCGTCCACAGGGAGGGCACAGTCTTGGCCAGAAAACAAACATGCAAAAGCATAAGAGTAGTTTTCAATCTTGGGGATCCTTACAAGTGCCGAGGCATGGCAGGAGGGAGAAGCCTGGGGTGCCTGTTGGACCCGTGACATGGGCTGGGTCTTGAAGCCTGAGCAGGACCCTATTTCTTATACTTCTTCTTGGATGCCTCCTCAGCTAAAGCCCTCCTTCCTGGGGCATAGGCCTTCAGTAACAGAGGTGAGAGGGAAGTACAAGGATTTAGGAAAGGGGATAGGGGTGGGAGCTGTGGGTCTGGCTTCTGCTTGAGGTGGCCCCAGCAAAGTCAAAGCAGCAGCCCATTCTGGTCCGTCCTGCTTGGGCTCCCAGACCTGAGGCAGTCACACTTTCTCCCAGAAGGATGAGAGAGGCCAACCCCCTGGGGGCCTCCCTGCCCTTATCCTGGTTATTTAAACATATCTCAGGAAGAGGACAGATTTGAGGCGCAGGAATTAGGGTGCTGGGGAGAAGGAAGTCCTCAGCAATGGTACTCAAATGGATTCTCAGAAGGCCAGGCAGCCTTGGTTAAAGGAGGTGATTAGTCAGAGCCAAGCCAAGGAGTTCAATAAAGCCGGCGGCTCATTACGCAGCTGGGGACCCCCTGCCTGAGCAGCCCAGGGCCTGGGTTACATTACAGGGCTGTGTGAACTCTCCCCTCAGAGTGAGACTGTACTGGCCTTGAAATAATTATGGGGCCTCAGCAGATGGTGGAGGCAGACAGGGGAGACCTTCAGCTGTGAGACACGTGACCTGTCAGCATCTGTGCAGAGCAGGACATGGGAGGGTCCACCCTGGGCCTCAGGGGAGGCAGCACTGCATCAAGATCTGAGAATGACGAAGTCGGTTGTTGGCGCGGCCTGGCCAGTGCTCTGGGCCAGCCAGGCCCCTTTACAGCCTGCCCAGTCCAGGGGGGCCTACTAGTGGGACCAAGTCCCTGGAAGCTTGAGGGCCAGGGTCTGAATAGATTTGCGGGTCATACCGCAAGAGCAGGAGACACTTCTGGCAACTGTGAGTCCTTGAATGCCTTCCTGGAGCAAGTGGGCATCAAGGAGCTTGGGGATTTCAGACACCTCTCCGGGAGGCTCCATGGTGCTGAGGCTGAGCACCATGCAAGGAGTCAGAGGACCCCCTGAACAACCCCCCTCAGGCCCCTTCCCTCTCCCTCCTCTGTGATCCTTCGTCCTGACTCCTCCAGCTCTGCCTTGACAGAACAGGCTTCAAATATCCTCAGGCAGCTCTCAGCCAAGACAAACACCAGAGGGAAGGAGCCAGAAGGCTGCGGGGCTCCCCCTCTCCACTCTGCCGGGGGAGAGCGAGGGCCTGGGGCTCCAGCCGGGAGACTAAAACGGGGCATGGCCCCCATTCCATTCAGGCCTCGCCTACCCAACAAACTTCCCTGACTACTCCACCCTCCTCACTCCCAAGCTCTCTGCTTCATGTTTCCTCCTTTTGGATGAGAGAGAAGTAAGGACGGCTCAGATTCGGTTCTCTCTGCCCACCCTCACGCTGCTGAGCCAAGGGGGGCACATATCCTTTAGGACCAGACACAACCCTAGTTCCCTTTCCAACAGCACAGAATATACAGTGACTGAGAAACAGGCCCCTTTCCTGAACGATCATTATTTCAAGACCTATGGCTTAAAGAAGGCTTCTCCACTTTGGTTTAGCCTGTACTAGCATGGACTTCTGCCTCAGTTTGCTTCTCCATCTCATGGTTCTCCCTTCTCTCTCAAACCCTGGAAGCTGCCGTGTGGCTCTTTCAATCTTTAAAGTTCCACACAGGATTTCCCTTTAACCTATGTGAATGCTGTCCTCCCCACGGAAGACTTTCCTTCCCTGGCCCATTCCGTCTGCTCCTGGCCAACTGCTTCCCAACCCGTCTTAGAAGCTGCGCCTTTCAGGAGGCCTTTCTGACCTCAGAAGCTGAGGGAGGCCAAAATCACCCTGGGGGGTTCCAGGTAAAGTTTTTAAAACAAAAAAGCAAAACAAACAAAAACAAAAACTGGTATACAAAACCTGTTGCAATTAAACATTCAGCCGTGTCAGGATGTATGTCTGTGCCTGTGTAAATGGTAAATAGGTTTAAATGATAATGTCAAAAATCCACAATAGATGGAGGGGAGGAATAAATGAGGAATATGAGATTAACAGATACATATTACCACACAGAAGGTAGATACACAAAGATTTACTATATAGCATAGGGAACTACATTCAGTATCTTTTAATAACCTATAATAGAAAAGAATTTTGAAAAAGAATATAGCAGGAGATGGCAAGATTGAATATCAACATCTTAGGAATTGGTGAACTAAAATGGACAGGAATGAGTAAATTTAATTCAGATGACCATTATATCTACTACTGCGGGCAAGAATCCCTTAGTAGAAATGGAGTAGCCTTCATAATCAGCAAGAGTCTGAAATGCAGTACTTGAGTGCAACCTCAAAAACGACAGAATGATCTCGGTTCATTTCCAAGGCAAACCGTTCAACCTCACAGTAATCCAAGCCTATGCCCCAACCACCAGTGCTGAAGAAGCTGATCAGTTCTATGAAGAACTATCACCAAAAATGGTGTCCTTTTCATCCTAGGGGATTGGAATGCAAAAGTAGGAAGTCAAGAGATATTTGGAATAAAAGACAAATTTGGCCTTAGAGTACAAAATGAAGCACTGCAAAAGCTACAGAGCTTTGTCAAGAGAACATGCTGATCATGTTGTTCAGTCGCCAAGACATGTCTGACTCTTTGCTACCCCATGGACTGACGCACACCAGGCCTCTCTGTCACTCATCGTCTCCCAGAGTTTGCCCAAGTTCATGTCCATTGAATCAGTGATGATATCCAACCATCTCATCCTCTGCTACCCTCTTCTCCTTTTGCTGGTCGTAGTAAACACCCTTTTCCAGCAGCTCTACACATGGACACCACTAGATGATCAACAGTGAAATCAGATTTTTTGTAGCTGAAGATGGAGAAGCTCTATACAGTCAGCAAAAACAAGACTTGGAGCTGACTGTGGCTTAGATCATGAACTCCTTATTACAAAATTTAGGCTTAACTTGAAGAAAATAAAGAAAACTAATAGGCCATTTAGATGTGACCTAAATCAAATCTCTTGATTATACAGTGGAGGTAACAAATAGACTCAAGGTATTAGGTCTGGTAGTGCCTGAAGAACTATGGATGGAAGCTTGTAACATTATACAGGAGGCAGTGACCAAAACCATCCCACAGAAAAAGAAATGAAAAAAGGCAAAGTGGTTGTCTGAGGAGGCTTTTCAAATAGCTGAGGAAGAGACGCAAAAGGCAGGGGAGAAAGGGAGAGATATACCCAACTGAATGCAGAGTTCCAGAGAATAGCAAGGAGCGATAAGAAGGCCTTCTTAAATGAACAATGCAAATAAATAGAGGAAAACAGTAGAATGGGAAAGACTAGAGATCTCTTCAAGAAAATTGAAGATATCAAGGGAATATTTCATGCAAGGATAGGCACAATAAAGGACAAAAATGGCAAGGACCTAACAGAAACAGAGGAGATTAAGAAGTGGCAGGCTTACACAAAAGAACTATATAAGAAAGGTCTTAATGACCCAGATAACCATGATGGTGTGGTCACTCACCTACAATCAGACATCCTGGAGTATGAAGTCAAATGGGCCTTAGGAAGTATTTGTGGCTCAGCTGGTAAAGAATCCACCTGCAATGAGAGAGACCTAGGTTTGATCCCTGGGTTGGGAAGATTCCCTGGAGAAGGGAGAGGGTACCCACTCCAGTATTGTGACCTAGAGAATTCCATGGACAGCCCATGGGGTTGCAAAGAGTTGGACATGACTGAGCAACTTTCACTTCACTACAAACAAAGCCAGTGGAGGCGATGGAATTCCAACTGAGCTATTTAAAATTCTAAAAGATGCTGTGAAAGTGCTATACTCAATATGTCAGCAAATTTGGAAAATTCAGCAATGGCCACAGG